AGGCACTGTAAGAGTCAGAAAAGCAAGACCATGCTGGTCTTTTCCACCATTGACTGCCCAGAACCCAGAACCATTAGGTAGCAGGCAGCTCGAGTGCTCAAGAGGACATGAGCGGCAGGGTAGGCACTCAGCACTCTTTGACACGACTGAGGCACATGTAATGGAGCTGAGATAGAATCAGCAACAAAACAGACAGGAAGGCAGGCAGAGTGGGCTATTAGCCTTTCAGTGTGCTAAAGAACAGGAATGGTCAAGTCTTTCACTTGCACATGTCTTTGAACTTCTATTATATAATGAATTTAGGGACCAAGTGAAAAGAGCCCAAGAATTAGAAGACATGAGTTTGATATCTACCTCAGTTTCCCTATTTGCAGCACAGGAGAAAAAAGCAACAATAAGTGCATAAGCATTCTTAAAACTGTGATGGGATATTCAAATATGAAGTACTGTATCAGTGTTATGTGACATGTACCACTGCCCAAAGCACTTTCTTCTCCCTGACTGGAGGCACATTTAGGTTAATTCATCTCAAGACAAAAGTTGAATTTTTTAACTATAAAGAGATAGTAGATTTTTGTTTGAAATTACCTTCTAGAACACCTTTTGAGGAAAATGATTAAATCAAATTATAATGTGGGTGGTTTTGTGGTGTAGATGCAAGCCCAGAAAGGGCTTCTCAAGAACACATTGCATCTGAAGTCGTTGACTTCTTTAAATAACATGTGACTAACATCTCTAGAGTAATAAACTGATTGTTATTAACAGTATGACTTATGGAAATTTCACAACAACAACAACAACATATATAAGGAAAATATAGTCTTTAAAAGACCAAACTCATTTTGTATAACAGTTTAACTAGAATAAATCCAGCCTCATAGAGGAATAGTTGGATGTCTTATTACCCATTCAATATATTTTAATAAGAATATTCTACATCACTATTTTTTATTTATTATTTATAGGGAGCAAGAGAACAACATGTCAGTCTTCAATGAAAATACTACCTACACGGTCTTTGCCTCTGGAAATGTGAACTCCAAGACATAAATAGGATGTCCCTAGCACCAATCCAGGTGACATGGCCCTTCTTTATCATATGAAAAGAGGAAATGAAGATACCAAAAATTCCTTTCTAACATCTGATCTTGTTTAAAATCAGTGATGTGAATACAGAATTATTTGGTCTTATAGCCAATGGAGTCCAGGGAAGGTTAGGCTCAAAATACAAGAAGGAGGCACCCTCAATACAAATTTAATATAGGAAGCATTGACATTCAGACTGTACTTTTAAGTACTTCACTAAAACTAGTAAGTGGTTAGTGAATTAAAAATTAAAGGAAAGTAAAACTTCACATTCAGAGACAAAGTTAAACTAACTCTCTCTAACCCAATAATTGAAAATTTATAGAGCCTTTAATTTTGGTGTTAAGACTATGTCAAACATAATAGGTTCTCAAGGAATAGTCACTTTTTAGTTTAAACCACCTTTATTTAAGCATCCTTCTTGTTTCTGCTACTTCAGAAATGAAATAATAATTCAGAAAGCTGGATTAATGGTTTAAATCATAAGGTTCACTCCTATTTGGGAAGATACCTGGGGAGGAATTAGCAAACCTAGAGTATATTTTACACCCAGTATGATCTTGGCATTCAGTATGTGCTCAGTAAGTACAGATGGATGGAGAACCACATTTTCCCTATGTTAGCAAATATAAGAATTTATATTCAGGTTTTTCCCATAAACTATGTTCTGATGGAAAGTAATTTTGATCTCACTCTTTTGGAAGAGAATCATCAGCCCAAAAGGCAGATAATTTACTTTCCTGAGAAGAAAACTGAGATTAGCCAAAACTTCCCACAAAATGAAAATGGACCCTGGAGTGGTTATGGAACGGTTTCATTATTTCATTCTAGTTTTTAATAACGGTTCCTCAGCTCAGTAGTCTGAAGCCGTATGTTGAATCTAACATGGGAAATTTAACAGGGGCAACTGAAACAAAGTCCTAAGTTAGAGCTGAAACCCAAAAGCAAAATAAAGTCTGTGGAGATTTGCTGGGTCACGAATGTGAGTGACCTCATACCCTGTGTTTCCTCTTCGGCTGATTTGCTCATTTTTAGTCCCCTCTTTCTTTGAGCCCAATAACTAGTTCGGTGTCTTTCATCTGGAACCTGAGATATCGCTGATTTTGAAATACGAGACCAAATTGTTAAGCTGAATTGAACTGAACTAAAGCACATACACACACACACACACACACACCTTCTGTGTCCTTATACATCTAAAGTATATACACAGTGCTGCAAGACTCTACATTATCTGTGTGTAGAAAGTAGAAAGTGCAGTTAACCAACAGACCAAACAGTTTCAGGTTATCACAGGCAGAAAAAAAAATCTAAGGGGATGAAGAAGCCCTCTGTGAGAGAAAAGACTTAGGACAAAGTTTAAAAAGGTCAAATAGAAAAAAAAAAAGGAATAGACATAAAGCATAATCTTGTGGGATTTCATAGGTTTCCAGGGCCACAAAATGGCTATAACAGTCCGTAGCACATTTTATCAGGAAAGAGACTTCATAAGGGTCAGCAGGAAAAAAAGTAAAAAAATTTCAGTGAGGGTGATTTGCAGGTTCTTATAAGACATCTTTATAGCCAGACTGTGAAAATTGGTGAATAATGAAAATTATACCTTCACCAAAAAAAGCAACTGCCCCAGATTGCATTATCAGGAGACAGTGGATGAGCCACATGTGTAAGCGTGTGTGTGTATGTGTGTGTGTGTGTGTGTGTGTGTGTGTGTGTATTTGGCTCTCACATAAGTCACCAGTTACACATATTAATCAAATAGTACTACCTTTCCAACTGCTTTTCTATTACCTGTCCTACTTGGTGCCAATTTCCTTTCTCCTCCCCAACACCCCTTGCTTCATGGTTCTTCTTTAAGACATGGGATGGGGATTTGTCAAAGTCAATGAGCACTTTATTACAGTGAGAACGTTCCGTAATGAACAATTCAGCAATTTAATGAGATTCTGTAGATCTGTCTCCAGCCTGTCCATCAAGTTTCACTTCTATAAAGCACCCTGACACTAATCCTCTGGCATACCCAATCTTCACCCTGGGCTGAATATTAGATTCTTCCATGGTATATTGCATTACTAGTATAACCTCAGCAAAAATGATGAACTTAACTATACTTGAGGCAATATAGCTGGTCTGATTTGATTTTTCTCTATAAGTTTGAGAATGGAGGAATTACTTATTTACTAAGATAAAGCAAAAACAGTTTCTTACTGCCTGCTGAATGCCCAAATTGATCATATTTATGTGAGTCTTTTAATTCTTTCTTGAGGACCAGGCATAAAAAAAAACATTGCCTGCAGCAGAAAGCAGTTTTTAAAGATCTACATTATAAATGAGTAACCTTTAGAGAGACTATTATAACTCTTCAGTGTATAGTATGGCATTTTTTGACACGTAGACATTTGCACATTCCTTCAATGGTGTCATAATGGATCCAAGTCACCAGGATGGTCAGCTCAGCTATCAATCCAATTAGAAATCATTAAATGCAGAATTCATTATCAGTCTTTCTTTTTCTCTTTGGGAACTGAAGAAAACTTTGGCTACTTCCCATTTTGAAATAAAAAGAAGAGAGCCACAGATAACTAAAAGTCATATCAAAAACTCAGCCTCACCAACACTTCTGACCTTGGCTTGACCAAATATCAGAAATGACTAAGAAGCAAAAAAAATATATATGGCTTCCCCTCCCCTTATATATATTTTTTTTCCTAAACAGGTAAAAACAGGAGAGCAGGCAGGTGTCCGCAGTCTCAGATGTGTTGGCTGGCTCTGCTGTATAACCCTGAGTAAGGCACTGCAGGCTCATTTTGCTCTTCTTCAAGATGGGGGTGATAACAGCTATCTTTCAGGCTTGGTGTGATGATAAATTAATAAGTTTGCAAAGAGCCTTTGCAATAACTTTGCAAAGTTCACTGAAGCTCAAGTACCTTTGATGCAAACAACAACCAAGAATGAAGTTGCTGATAAAAGTGAGACAAAGGAAGATAATGGGAGAAAGGAATAAGAAAATTATCAAGCAGTAGGGTGTTGGATAATTAAGGGCTACCTCTGACTCTGTTTTGGACAGAAGTAAAAGGCTTGCTGAATGCCATTTCATTAGATGCAAGCAACTCACTGCTTCATTAGTTAACTGAAGATTTCATATTTCCCATTGTATTCTATATATAGGTATTTTATATGGTCATGAAATCTTAGAGGTATGATGCCCTAGAAGTATCAGGATGTGGGATAGACTCTGTAAGAAGGGGACTAAGATGGGCCCAGTTTCCCAAAGATACCATGTGGATTGTTCAAGGACAATCACTGTGGATGAGTAGAAAAGGATTTAAATTGAATAATCAAGTTGAAGACAAAAAAAAAATCCTCCTGTCCCCTAGACAAAGGCTATTCAAAAAGAATGTTATGTCAGGTGAAAAGACAGGGCTTAGGAAAATAGCAATGAATGCAGAATGAACTACAGAGGGAGAGTTTTCCACTGCAATGCAAGAAAAGCTCTGTTTCATTTAAAGTCCCAGCTGTTCTCTGCTGCAACAAAGAAATGTTTCTGATTTACAGGAAAGCCCAGAATTTGTTCAGATTTCATTGGTCATAAATATGAGATCACTATATAGTCCATTCTTCTCATTTTTAGTATACAAAATTATTTTTATTGGGGGGGATATCAACTTTGACTCTTTCCAATGTAAGACCCCATGAGGAGTTGAGCAGTCTCACCTGTAATTCCTTGGCTTAAGCAGAGGGCACTAAGAGCTCAGTCTCAAGGGCTGGCATTCTGCAAATACTTGCCCATCAAGGAGCATAACTTTGAAACATCAATGAGAACCAAACCAAACTAGTTGTCACTGTTGCTCAGTCCCTTAACTTAATCAAGCCATGCCTTGTTCATGCCAGAAGAGGACCATGCAGAACGCCCTTACCTGCCAGATCTGCTCTTCGCTTAGAGAGGTCAGGCGGTCACTCTTCAGGACCTCCTGAAGCAGACAATAAGGAAGCGTTAGAACGTCTTCTGGGCGACTCTTCAGGAGTTCAGAGAGATGTTTCACTAAGAAATCGATCACTGCCTTCTCCAACAAAGTGAGGTTAAAGAGGTCAGCAAGTCTGTACAGATCCAAGTAATTAAAGCTATTTAATTCCTAGGTGCCAAAAAATAAAAATGGGGAAAAAAAAAGATTTCTTAGAAATCAATCCAAGAAAGAACAGGCAAGAAATTCAGATTGACTAACTAAGGTTTGCATGACAAGAGTGGGAGAAATGGGTCTGCAATGCATAAAATTTAAAAAATCCTCTGGGTAGGGAACTGCTGAGGTAGAAGTCATCGTTTTTCCTCACTTTGACACTTACAAAACCTGTAAACTTCATTATCTTAATAAAAGGATTGAAAGGGGATTCTAGTTTCATTATCAAATTATTACTTTGCAAGTAATATAATATTACTTTACCAATGAAGACAACTTTTCTTCCCTTACCTTATTTTACAGCTCTCAGGTGATTTTTTTTTTTTTTTTGCTAAAGATAATGAGAGGACAGGTAAAGTGAAGGTTCTGATGAGATGACACAAACTAGATGAAGGCAGACTGATCTTACTTTATCGCCAAAACTCCTTTGAGTAAATACAATCCATCCTTACTTATAAAATGAAAACAAACATGTTAACATTTAGGTCTCAAAAAAAAAAAAAAAAAACTCCCTGTTAAAAAAAATCCCTGTCTCGAATAATTCTATATTGAATCCAACTAGGATGGACAATTCATATATATTTTTTCTTTTAATCTTAAGAATGCTGAACCCAGTATCAATTTCATCTGCAAAGAGTTTTCGTAGGAAGGCTTCATTTCAGAGAAATTTCACCCATTTCTATGTGTTCCCAAATTCCTAGCCAGGACCACCAGAGAGTTATGTCTCCTGTGGGAACTTTGTCCCTGGAATACGGCAAGAACCAAAAGTGGGAAGACAGGAATATTAGTACAATCCTCACCTATTTCAAAGCAAGTGAGAATGAACGGTGTCTTACTTTCCCCTCATATTTAACTTTTAATTATTAACAAACGAGTAATATTTCCCAGTAACTGAGAGAATACAGAATATCATCAGAGAGCCACTTACTCTACTGATTTAAGTACTTTTCAATGTATTTTCCTCTTTTCTAGTCATCTAAGAGTATCAAGAATGCTTTAAAATATTTTTATTCTATTTTGATGTGTTTATTTGAAATTTATTAACACGCACAGAATTGGGGTATAGGCCAGAGGTGTGGGGATTGAGCAGACTCGCCAGAGACATAGTGGGGAGCAGAGCAGGCAGACTGACTGAACTACAGTGCTGAGGGGAGCAGCGGGTGGGACAAGTCTGCCGAGCGACGTGGCTCATCTTCGCTGGCCAGGACAGAACTCATGCAGTGGCTGTGATAGCTTCATAGTGGGGCACATTAACCTGTTGGGCCACCAGGGAGGGCCCTTTGATGTATTTATTTCTATACTATTTAAAAACTTAAGAAATTTTCTGAATCTGTACTATCATGGTCTGCACACATCAAATGTGGCTGCCAAATACTTGTCATGTGGCTTGACCAATTTGAGATGAGCTATGTATTAAACATATATTGACTGCGAGGAGGAAGAAAAATAGGATATAAAATAAGTTTTGCACAATTTATTTGTTGAAATGATATTTTGTATCTAGTGGGTTAAATATGTTATAATTAATTTCACTGTTTATTTTACTTTTGTACTGATATGGTCATTAGGAAATACTTAATCACTATGTGGCTTCCACTGTTTCTATTGGATCATGCTATTCTAAATAAATAATAAAACAGAATATATAAATTACATAAAAACAGTTTTTAGAGTAACAATGGTATCATCATCACTGCTCCCTGATTAATTTTTTTGGGTACTTTGATATCATTTCTTTTAGCAGGAGATGCCACTTCCTGTTCCTAACTGGAGTCAAACTAGATGGTGTAGGAATCAGCCCTAACAGTCCAACTCTGAATAGTTCTATTTGACAACACAATTGAAGAGAAGTAAATACTTCTCTTTAAAATAACGTTTATCAGAAGACCACGGATATCCACTACAACTCAAATATTGAGAGCCCGCTGCTAAGCCACTCAATCAAAATACATGGCTTCCTACCTGCAGATTGTGTCAAGGGAATACTGAAGTCTTTTGGTTCCAGCACCAAATGTTTAAGTCAATGCTTAAACCTTCTCTCCAAATCTTACTTTCTAGAATTGGGTAAATTCTTCTCTGGGAGGAAAGAAGGTGTAACCTTGGCACATGGAGCTTCCAGAGCAAACTAGAGGGCGTTATAGTCTTGGGACAAATATATTATTTCTGATGAGTACATTTATGAAACAAGCTTAACTGTTTCTGTGTGAGAGAGGTTTTGTGGGAGGGAAGCATAGGAACAATTTTAGTGTCCCAGAAGTGTGGTTGTTGTCTGTGGGGTTGGGAGGATTGGGATAGTCTGTGTCTTTCAGGCACTCCAGGCCCAAGGCATTTGTGGTCTTCAGGCTGCCTACACACATCCCCAAATGAGCATGCGCAGAATGTGCAGAAGCAAGAAAACCAAGCTCTATAAAGAAAAAGGTGGGCATACAAAATTCAGAATAAAGGCTTTCTACACTTGTTCTTCTGCCAAAAACATGTATACAACTAGAATTTGGGACCAGATTTTGTAAAATAAGATATTCTTTATTAAGCATCTTTAGATTGTTACATGGAGATACTGAATGTCTTCCAGTTAAAAGCCTGCAACTTAAATGCAGTGAATTAAAAACTATGATGGACCAAAGAACTAATTTATCTTAATAGATTTAAAATATTGTACTTCTTTTCTACCGTCTCTTCTGAAGATAACTATTTAACGCCTCCTTCCAGAGTCCTGAAACATTTATGTTTCTTAGGGCTTGTATATGATTCCCAAATCCAATCTAAAAAAATATTTCATATTAGTGGAGAACTAAGAAGGCTAAACAGACAAGCATAAGTGGTTAAGTGAACAGAAAAAGCAGATTGACCTGCCATATAATTAAGAGAAACATCAGTTGAAAATCTGTCCCCTTTCTTCACTTTTTCACTTCTCTTTTTGCTTAAAACATAATTTCATCCAAACTCCAGTGCTCTCAAGATACTTCCATGTTTTCTACACCCCTTGCATTGCATACCTGCCCTCAGTAAACTATCAGTGGAAAGAAGAGGGTAAAAGAAAACCACTTTCGTGGAGGTCAGGCGACCACAATATGCATTTCTCTCAGGGGTAGATAGGCTTTGTGTACCTCAAACAAAATCATCACTTCTTTTCCTTTCAACTAAGACTATTTGTAAGCAAAATAATCATCAATAATGCTGCTTTTAAGAATTTCTACTAATGTGATGGGGGGAGGTAGGAAGCAATGGTTAAAATACATTAAATGCCCACCTAGAATACTGTGCATGGGGGAAAAATCATCACTGTTATGAAAATAGAGCCATTATATTTCTGGCTATAAAAAGTAATAAATGTTCATTTCATAAAACTCAGGAGATACAAAGTATAGAAAAGAAAACAAAAATCATATTTCACCATGCAGAGATAATCACTATTAATGTTTTTGTTTATACACTTCTAGACTTTTTTGAAAGAAGTCTTTTATATATCAGAGAAAGAAAGAATAATTGCATTCAGAGGCAGAACAATCCATCAGTAGCCACAGGCACTTGGAGGCAACCCCGGCTGATGCTTGACAGCAAGGGCCATAGAATAAGGTTGATCTGGTTGAAATTTAGCATTACTACCACTGGCCATGACCTTGATTGAATCAGTCACTGAGCCTCCATTACCCTTATTTACAAAATGGGGTTTAGAACCAGTGTATATGGTTGTCATGGAGATAATGAACACATGCATTTATCACACAGACTTGGTATATGAAAAGTTGACTGAATTGTTGGGCAAGAAACAATAAAGTACATTTTTAATATTGTTGTAAGTCATTTATATACACTGATTTGATGCTGATGCAAGGAGGTCAAAATGAAGAATGGGGTTCCTTTAGATGCTAAAGTCTTAAATAAGATGAATCATTAAATAAGGGCCAGGTAAAAGCCACAGAGCTGAGTTATAAAATGACTTCACATAAGTGATTCCCTTATCTATATTACTAATTCAAGCCCCTTTAGGAAGCACTGAATTCATTTTCACACAGCCTGCAAGAGACATCTTCTCCAGATATCCCACATTCATATTTGAACTCAACATCTCCATATTGAATTCCATTTATCTAAACCTGCATCTTCTATATCTTCTCTCTTAGAGAATGGCCACATCGGCCACCTATACCAGCATCCTGAAGGTGGCTCATGTTCCTCCCTCATACACAGTCTGTCACCAACTCTGATTTATTCTTCCTGCTTTGCAGTTTTTATTTTCCATCATCTCCTATCCAGACTTCCTGCAGGAAATCCTATATCACCATTACTGCTACTAGTCTCAAACTCTTGATCTCTCTTCTTACAAGACTCTGATCATATTGAACATCTCTTTGAAATTCACTAACATATTTTCATTTGTTGTTGGGAAAATGTCCCAATTCATTAAGCTGTGTAGTTTCCATGACCTGGACCCTGCTGACTTTCTTAGCCTGCAGTGTAACCATCTCATCCACTCATTTCAAATGAATGTGAACTTTGCATTCACATTACATGTCAGTATCACCCTAGGTGTGGACGATACAAATGTGAGGAAGAATAGGTGAGTCCCAGGCCTCATGAAGTATATGGCCGATGAGAAGAATAAACCTCTAACCAAAACATATTGTAAATAAATGGAAAATTATAATTGAGGTAAAGATCACAAAGAGTAGAACCAAGGGCTGTCATAGGTGATTTGACCTGAGCAGAAAGTTAATAATTAAAAATTCCCTGAGAAGCCACATGGAACTAACTGATGGCTGAAGGAAGAGCAGATATTAACTTGGCAAAGAGTATGGTGGGAATGTATAGTAACAGTATGTTCTTATTTTTCATATTCTTGATGCTCTGGCATCTGGGATACCTAGTCTGCTAAGGGAGACAGTGCTTCATTTCAGGGTGAGCCATATATTTTTTTCTTTTTTTTAGAAAATGCAACAGTTCTCCCTGAAGCACAT